TTGTGGGGTGAAACGTTTAGTCTGTGGGTAGTGCGGGGAAGGAGAGGGGAAGGTGTTGGGTCTGTAGTAGAGATTGGAGTGTCTGGGGAGGATGTAGGAGCTTGGGAGGTAGGGGGAGTGGCAGAGTGAGCGACATTACTGGAATAGGGAGCAAGAGAAAAACCTTGTCGAAGTGCTTCCTGTCTGGCTTCACGTAGAGTGAGTCCAAGTCTGAATCTGAGAGTTGCTACCTCAGACTCAAATTTGTAGGTGGGGCAGCCCCTATAAAATACATTATGGGGGCCGCCACAGTTGGCACATGTGCGTAATTGTGCAGAGCAGTTTGACCGAGTATGGCCAGGTTGGGCACATAGCGGGCATCTGGCTGTAGAACGGCAATTTTTGGCTGGATGTCCTAAATGCCAACAATTTTGGCACTGACGATGAGGAGGTTGGTATGGTCGGACAGGGGAATGCCGTGTCCATGGCTCCCTCAGGCCGTTCAGGACTGGCACAGAGTCAGCCTTTCATCCTTTCAGAACGGTTCTCACAACTTAGGAAGTAGATAGTAAAAGGGGTTGGTGAAGGGACAGAAACGGAAAAGTAGGAGGGGAAAAAAGACCATGCAACATTAGTTGAGTCGAGGGCTGAGTCCCAAGGTTGGGGAGTTCCCCATCATTGGGTTTCAGTCTCCGCCTCCTAAGCCCCCAACGACAACAACGGGCAAGCGATTGGGGGGTAGTGAAGAATGTGAAGACTTAAAATACATAAAATGCCAAATACCTCATTAGATATTGGCCTGTAAATAATCGGTGTTATTATATCAACAAAAGAAGCGTCCATGGGAAATAGAGTGGTGAGTTTATATTTCAAAATGTATACACTTCGCTTATTTCCAACGTAGAAAGTAACAATTCAAGATCACTCGTTAACTACGAACCGCATGTTACTCTAACCGTTTCTGGTTATCTCTGTACTTTTGTACACATGTTCACATGTAAACACACATTTACAGGCATGTATACATATTTACACGTGTCTGCACACATTTACGTACACAAGTACATTTATGCACATATCTTTTTATAAACATGCGCATAAACATTTGTACGCAATGGCACATGAAAGCCTACATACACATGAATGCATATGTAATTACATGTAGATGCTAGAAAACACAAATACAAGTGGTCTTTGTCAAGCAATAACTACGTTTATGCATGCATCATATTGCTGAGGTTAGCATATACGGAGGTACCATTTTAGTTTATTCTGTAACTCGGAAACCAGGCATTTGAAAGAAAAGTGTGTGTAGTTTTACTGTTAACTAGGTAAATTTTCATGGAAGGAATGATTCAGAAAATTAACAGTAATATTCACAATTTTCATCTTTCTTTTCCGTAAAATGAATTTTTCGTGCTTTTGTACCACAATTCTTAAACAGTTTACATCGATGTAAGAGTTGTTCATAACACTGGAAAACTAATGGAAAAGAGCAGAAATTGACAACGGGAATTTTTTAGTTTTGCTTCCGTTTATTTTTGGCGATTCTTTTTAGAAAATGCCCTTTATACATGGCTTCTCCTTCGTTCAGAGACTTACTGTACACAAAGACACATGTTTACACGCAGATGTACAAACATTTTCTCACATGTACTTAAATAAGTACAAATGTGCACCTGTATGTACACATGTTTGTTTTATGTGTACACATATGTACAAATATGGATATATACCTCCATTCAGACATGTACAAACTTATTAACATTGTACATGTATGAAAACATCAATATAAATGGTCTTATACTCACAATAATCTTATTTCTGGATTGGGTCATGTACCAAGAAATCATTTTTTCTACTTTTTGGAGGGGTGACTTTTTATTGTTCTAACTTGGGAACCAAGCATTATTTGAAAGAAAAATGAATGAAGTTTCTTTGGTAATTAGATGATAAAAACTGCTTGAAGGAAATAAACAGAAAACTAACTGATAAAAAGTAAACTTTTTATCAGTCCCTTTTTTTGCATATTTTTAGGAATTGAAAAAAAGCCTTTTTATTAAGGATTACTTTCCTCAAAAAATAATTTTGCAAAAGGCTCATGTTAATATCTTTGGTGTGGGAGGTGGTGGTGGTGGTGGTGTGGGTGGTGGTGGTGGTGTGGGTGGTGGTGGTGGTGTGGGTGGTGGTGGTGGTGTGGGTGGTGGTGGTGTGGGTGGTGGTGGTGGTGTGGATGTGGGTGGTGGTGGTGGTGGTGGTGTGGGTGTGGGTGGTGGTGGTGGTGTGGATGTGGGTGGTGGTGTGGATGTGGGTGGTGGTGTGGGTGTGGGTGGTGGTGTGGATGTGGGTGGTGGTGTGGGTGGTGGTGTGGGTGGTGTGGGTGGTGGTGGTGGTGTGGGTGGTGGTGGTGGTGAGGGTGGTGGTGGTGGTGTGGGTGTAGGTGGTGGTGGTGGTGTGGATGTGGGTGGTGGTGATGTGGGTGTGGGTGGTGGTGTGGGTGTGGGTGGTGGTGGTGTGGGTGGTGTGGATGTGGGTGGTGGTGGTGGTGTGGGTGTGGGTGGTGGTGGTGGTGTGGGTGGTGGTGGTGGTGGTGGTGGTGGTGGTGGTGGTGGTGGTGGTGGTGGTGGTGTGGGTGGTGGTGGTGTGGGTGGTGGTGGTGGTGGTGGTGGTGGTGTGGGTGGTGGTGGTGTGGGTGGTGGTGTGGGTGGTGGTGGTGGTGGTGGTGGTGGTGGTGGTGGAGGTGGTTGGTGATGGTGTGGGTGGTGGAGGTGATGGTGTTGCTGGTGGTGGTGGTGTGGGTGTGGGTGGTGGTGGTGGTGTGGGTGGTGGTGGTGGTGGTGGTGTGGGTGGTGGTGGTGGTGTGGGTGGTGGTGGTGGTGTGGGTGGTGGTGGTGGTGTGGGTGGTGGTGGTGGTGGTGTGGGTGGTGGTGGTGGTGGTGTGGGTGGTGGTGGTGGTGGTGTGGGTGGTGGTGGTGGTGGTGTGGGTGGTGGTGGTGGTGGTGTGGGTGGTGGTGGTGGTGGTGTGGGTGGTGGTGGTGGTGGTGGTGTGGGTGGTGGTGGTGGTGGTGTGGGTGGGGTGGTGGTGGTGGTGGTGTGGGTGGTGGTGTGGTGGTGGTGTGGGTGGTGGTGGTGGTGGTGTGGGTGGTGGTGGTGGTGGTGGTGTGGGTGGTGGTGGTGGTGGTGGTGGTGGTGGTGGTGTGGGTGGTGGTGGTGGTGGTGGTGGTGGTGGTGGTGGTGGTGGTGGTGTGGGTGGTGGTGGTGGTGGTGGTGGTGGTGGTGGTGGTGGTGTGGGTGGTGGTGGTGGTGGTGGTGGTGGTGGTGTGGGTGGTGGTGGTGGTGGTGGTGGTGTGGGTGGTGGTGGTGGTGTGGGTGGTGGTGGTGGTGGTGGTGGTGGTGGTGGTGGTGGTGGTGTGGGTGGTGGTGGTGGTGGTGGTGGTGTGGTGGTGGTGGTGGTGGTGGTGGTGGTGGTGTGGGTGGTGGTGGTGGTGGTGTGGGTGGTGGTGGTGGTGGTGTGGGTGGTGGTGGTGGTGGTGTGGGTGGTGGTGGTGGTGGTGGTGGTGGTGGTGGTGGTGGTGGTGTGGGTGGTGGTGGTGGTGGTGGTGGTGGTGGTGGTGGTGGTGGTGGTGGTGGTGGTGGTGGTGGTGGTGGTGGTGGTGGTGGTGGTGGTGGTGGTGGTGGTGGTGGTGTGGGTGGTGGTGGTGGTGGTGGTGGTGGTGGTGGTGGTGGTGGTGGTGTGGGTGGTGGTGGTGGTGGTGGTGGTGGTGGTGGTGTGGGTGGTGGTGGTGGTGGTGGTGGTGTGGGTGGTGGTGGTGGTGGTGGTGGTGGTGTGGGTGGTGGTGGTGGTGGTGGTGGTGTGGGTGGTGGTGGTGGTGGTGGTGGTGGTGGTGGTGGTGGTGTGGGTGGTGGTGGTGGTGGTGGTGGTGGTGGTGGTGGTGGTGGTGGTGGTGGTGGTGGTGGTGGTGGTGGTGGTGGTGGTGGTGGTGGTGGTGGTGGTGGTGGTGGTGGTGGTGGTGGTGGTGGTGGTGGTGGTGGTGGTGGTGTGGGTGGTGGTGGTGGTGTGAGCTCCTGGATTATTTAATAAATAACTTGCAGCATAACCACACTTGCAACTGCCTGAGTATCAGCAAAGTAGGTATGGTCACATTTTTAATTTGGACATATCTTGAAAATCCTAATTAAATTATTCATTTTATGCCCATCCACTGAGGCATCATTTCATCAATCATAAACATCTTTTACAAGATTGTACTTTTTCTTGGCTTACAAGAGATACTATAAGCTTCCCCCAATAAAGTCACCAGGAATTAAGTGTACATATATTTGGATTATAAAAATAAATTAATATATACCTTTTCAGAACGTCCCTGAAAACAGTCATAATTCTATATGCACAATGTATATAAATCCTCATGCAGGATGCATGAGAATTTTAAAACACAGAAAGAGTTGTTCATCATGTTTTTTTTTTATTTTTTGGCCCAAACCTATGATATAGTCCCATTAGTCATGGTATACTAGGTGTAAGATGGAAGAATTTACAATGTAAAGTATCAAATCATGACTAACAAAAGTTAAGCAGTGGCAGTGTGGTCATGTTTTGTGACATAAATTGGAAATGTATACCCTGTAGCAAGCCAAGAAGTTCACCTGTATCTGATTTGTTACTTTGACTATACATGCATTTTACTTAAAAGGAAATCAGGCCATAATCCATTAATATATAAGAATGGCCAGAATCTGTTACTATATAAGAAGGAAAGAAAAATAATAGAGGATATTGTCCATGATACTGGGAATTGCAGATTGCTACCATATGTTCTTTTAATTTTCTTATCAAATGTACTATATGTACTATTTTTTCATCTAAACAGTCTTTTTAGTAGGTCAGAAAAGAAATACTTGCCTGGTATATCCATTTCCATTAAGACTTAAGCAAATGTTTTAAGAACTTTCTTGTAAGATTTGCATATGATCTCTGTCCAGGGCTACTAACTGCTTTCTCACAAAACTACATAATCAGTCAGTTTTGTTATTTCTGTTCATAAATCATTCTTTATCTTTCAATACATAAAAGGTAACAACCAAATAACAATTCGCAATATCATATCTACTTCAAAAACTACAAACCTTACCAAGTGCAAGTGCAATCTGTGCCAAATAGATCTTGACAAGGTTTTCCGGGAGTCTGCCTAAGGATCGCCACAGCTGCTGCAGTTCGCCATATCCCACAAATTCTGTCACTGGTGCAGAAGATACAGTGAAGTAGTCTAAGAGCTATTTGTTTTACACAGATAATATGGTAAAGGACTGCTAATCTCCTGAAGTAAAATTAGAAATGTAGATTTTTTCTGTTCAAGCACTCACACACTTAACCACTTTACATATACAGTAAGTCCCCAACTTAAGAACATAATGGGGACTAAGAGGCTGTTTGTAAGTTGATTTGTTTGTATTTGTTTGTAGGTCTCCATTACCTCTTTTCCCATTGTTTTAAAGTTTAGTTTACATTAAGAATACCTATAAATAAATCCCAATAAGTATACAGTACATGTAATATGTAATGCTTTTAATATTATCTTATGGCACAAAAATTGGCGGTACACAAGGAAACAGTGAACAGATGCTTTTGTATTTATGGCGGGAGGGCAGGCGACTGAGGCGAGTGATGCGCACAGCTGAGTGAGCACGGCAGCACCACGGCATGGCAGACTCATGAACTATATTCGCACCCGGGAAATTTGACGTTTGCTAGCATTTTTCAAACCATTTTTTTGTACTTTAGTATTTAAAAAATTTTGTTCATATGTATGAAATGTTCATAAGTGGAATGTTCTTAAGTAGGGGACTATCTGTATGACATCAGTCATCATTTTAAGTATCTGATCCCAATATCTATCACACATGAGGTAACTCCTTAATCCATTCGCCCCAGATTTATGTTCTGTCCCCTGTAGTTTTTGGTGAATTTTGTTACATATAGATGGCTCCTTGTGTTCAGCCAGCAAGGAGTCAATCGGTAGGCCCTAGTTACCGATTCTAATTTTCCCACTCCTTGAATTGGCGGGCAAGTGTCTTTTTCTTATTACTACCATTGTCATCGATGTTATGATGTTATGATTATTAAATGGTCATTAAAATATTTTAGACAACGTGAAGGAAAAGGGTAAACAGGTGAGATAGGTGGTTCTGATAAACTGGGTATTTGGTGATTAAGAACTTGCAGAGCCATCCATGTGTAAATACAATAAATGTGTATTACAGTGGGCACAACATGTATTCTTGCCACATGAGGCGAATGGGTTAAAATACCTTTTTTATGATAGTTTTTTTGATGATCTGATATTGCAACATTGCACTGAGCACAGCTTAAGCCTTGAGATTCACTGCAATAGATGCCTTACACACTAAATGCATAATAAATAAGCCTGCTGGTAGCACTAGTAATTTCAGATGGGGCTGTATGTGTAAGAGTTATAAGCAAAATGACATGTAAATGAAATATGACCTATCAATGTTATACAAAAGACTATAATCTCAGATCCTCACATTCAAGAAAATACTTCATTTCTAACCCTTTGACCACAGCCAAAATTCCAAAGCCATTCCCAGAAAACAATCAGAGTGCTAATCTTTGCACTGTTGCTGATTTTCTTGTTGGGAATGACAGTAAAGAATCCATGTTAACAGTAAAACTGCTAAAAAAGTTGTGAAAAAAGGTTTTATAAAAAAATATATATATATTTTTGTATACATAGTAATTATGACTATTCAAAGTTTACTAACACATTTTTCAAAAGCTTGAAGATACCTAAAAACATATAATATTCCACAAGACGTATTATGATGTGTTGTGAGTGCATGTATACAATCACAACACTCACTATCATCTGTTAGCTTGTCATTTTCCTTGGACAGGAGAGGCTTGAGAATAATACTCATTATGTTGGAACACAAGATAGCTTTTCTAAGGCTGTGAAATATAGTTGCCTTAAGTGGTGCCATGAATAATAGTTTAAAATTGTAATCATGATGACTTAATGCAGTATATTCAGGGATGCCCAAACCGACCATAGGAAGTGGGGGAACTCCACCATTCCCCCAAGGTCTATATATCTTCCTTGTGTCCACTAAACTGATTATGACATTCACCTTTTTCAAATTTCATTGTACACTTTGAAAGGCAAAATATTGATAAAACAGAGACATTTTCTGGTATCTCTGTGATTTTTTATTTAATAAATTTATCTCATGAATTTTTTTCTGAAGGCAAACTTTAATCCTCTTCCCCTGATGTAAAATTCTATGTTGTAAACCAGATCTGTACATAAAAATGGGACTCTTCACAGACCTGCTAGCTCATCTATAGCTAATGCAGCCAGTAACAATGATATAGAGAGTGGAACTAAAATAAGTATTTGCATATGCTCTCACTAGGAGCAAGGTATCTCCTAGGCACTATATTCTGTTCAGCATGGGAGGTAGTCAGCACCAAGCCAGAAGTTAGTCATTTGATTTCTGTCCAATATAATGAGCCAGTAGAGCAACTGAGAGACACTGCATCCTGGAAGAATGTATAAAATAACTTCTGCACCATATTGTTTATGTTATATAGTCCAGTAGTACTGACTACCTGGCTGCCTGCCTAACTTATTGATGTTAGGAAGGTATGTCAATATGTACTGTCTACTGTGATTTTGTTTTATTATTTAGATTTTTACACATTTACACCAGACCTAATGACTCAATATCAAGAATTTCCAGGAGGAAAAAATATTATTAATAATGATTTAGTCATAAAAATGATAATAAAAATGTTGATAGTGACAATGAAAGTAATACTATAATAAAGATTTTTTCTAATCCAAAAAAATAAAGAATAATAGGCCTAATAAATTACTCCTAGCTGACTAAGCACTTGTGAAGCCATCTAAGCAGAAACAAAATTAATAATACAAAACCCATATTCCAGAGCATTACACACTTGATATATCAACCAACACTCAGCCAGTAAAGCACAGCACAAAAAAAGTCCATACAATATGTCAAAGTTGTGCTATTAAGATTAAACTGAAATAATCATAACATGTATTAACCCATTGCCACTGGGGAAAATGAAAAAAAAATGGGGAAAATGCTGTGCCTATTTTCTTCTTTTTTTTTTGTGAAATGTCTGCCCATAGATGGCTCTGTTAGTGCCTGATTTGAAATGGCAGGAAAAATGTATTTTTCACAAGCGCCATGAATATCAATGGTGTTATTTTTATTATAAACATTATAATTATTATTATGTTTTTTAACATTAGTAACAGCAAAATAAGATGTAAATGTAAAATATTTTGTAAATCAAAGAAAAGGGTAAACGGGCGAGACAGGCGGTACTCGTAACTAGCTCATTGGTGATTTAGTACAAGCGTAGCCATCTATATGCAAAAATAATCAAATAAGTAATCTCACAGTGGGCATGGTATGGCATGCCCATCAGCAATGGGTTAAAAGTATCTTGGAAACTTTTCTAATAACAAAGGATGGTACACAGTTTGCCATGGATTATATCAGTGTTTCTTTTGTGCTCTACCAAAAGTGAATACTAAATGGCAATACATGAGCACAAATCCTGGCTCATCCATACCATATTCTAGGATCATGGTAGTGTTCAGACATCTAAAAATATTTATTCCAAAGAACAGTGATGTTCTTTATCATTTCATTTATTCTTTAAGTGAACTAAAGTAAATGTTGTTGTTTTTTATCATAATTTTGCTAGCATTATAATGAACCTACATATTTTTCATCATTTTCCTCATAAAAAAAAAAGTCTCTGGTAAAACAGGATCATATATTTTTTACCATCATTTCCTAAGGTACATTTTGCAACAAAAGTGGCTTGTCACATATTGTACAGTCATTTCACCAAGACTGTGCATGAACTGTCTAAATATTAGCAGGCTGTTTTTGTACTTTTTACTATGTATGAGACTAAAAAATGAGTACTAATAAATCTGGCACAGGCAAGTTGTCTCCAGCCACACCTATAATAGCAATCCCTCATCCCCCATTCACACTGCAGGCCCTCCCCTTACTAAGTTTGTCATGCAGTTGTTTTCTATTTCATGCAGCCAAATCCTCATATTAACACTCTCTCATTCTCCCTGCCAACCCCACACTATTACATATTATGTAACACAATCACTTCCTGGTTTATTCATTTTTATTTCTTATACATATAAATATACTGAAACACAAACATATATATTGTTTCATATAAGCATGCATTTTCATTATTTTATATATGTTTCATTTGTGTCTAACCTTTTTTTATTACCATTTTCACTTATCTGTGATATGCACTACAATAATTTTGATCCCCTACAGTGTGGTACGAATATAATATGTAAATATAGGCCTACATTTCCAGGTATGTAAAATAAATCTTATGAAGTATCAAGAAGAAAAAGAAACAAAAAAAACAAGAAACCAACTGTCACATTTTTATGAAACAAATAAAATAGATAAAAAGGTTGATTTTATCACAATTATTGTATATCCGATCTGGCTATTGATATAGGGACATGCTTTTTTGTTAGAGGCCAAGACAATGGTTACCCAATGACTACGTTTTAATGAATTTTGTTACCAACAGATGGCTCCACATGAGCTCAGCCAGCAAGGTGTCTATCAGTAGGCCCTAGTGATCATTCCTGATTTCCCCATTCCTTGAAATTGTGGGAATATGTATTTTACTAATACTGTTGATTTCAAAACTTTTATTATTCTTATTATGATATTATGATTATTAAATTATTAAGTTATTAAATTATTAAGTTATTAAAATCTTGGTGACATTAAAGACAATGATACACTTCAAGAGAAACTTAAAATAAATTAAATGAACTTAGATTACAGTGGGCATGATATGTATTCTTGCCATCCGTGCAGATTGGGTTAATGGTTACAAAGCAAAATAAAAGACATCAAAGATCATATAGCATTATAGAAAGGTATATTAGTGAAAAGGGTAAAGAATGGGATTAGCTGATGAATAAACGTGCTACACGTCAAAAGTCACATAGCAGTTCAAGATAGTAAGGTAATGAAAGGGGGGTGAGGGAAGAGAGGGTGAATGGGCGAAGGTTAACCCATTGCCGCGGGGAAAATGAACAAAAAATGGGGGAAATGCAGTACTCATTTTTTATATTTTTGTGAAATATCTCTGTCCATAGATGGCTCTGCTAGTCCTGAT